GTCCACCGCGGGTCCCCGGGCTACTACTACTACTACTACTACTACTACTACGACTGCTGCTGCTGCTACTACTGCTGCTGCTGCTGTTGCTACTACTACTACTACTACTACTGCTACTGCTACTACTACTACTACTACTACTACTACTGTTACTTGTGGTAAGATTGTTGTTGGTGATAGTGCTATTTTGATGACTATTATCGGCAGTAAAAGATATCGAAATTAATATGTTGTGCCCAATGGCAGCTTATCAACATTGTTGCTATTAGTATTACTACTAATTGTTATTATGACTGCCAGAATGACTAGTCTTACTATTGATACCGTGTTTGTTATGATGGTGACTAATACTGTTAGCCTCATTGTCCAAAAGTGTTTCGAGAGTTATGAATTACTGCTTTTGTTGTTGCTCTGGCTATGGCTGTTGTTATGATCAATATTATTGTTAGTTATATGTCCGTCTGTCTGTCTGCACGGATTTACGCTTTTAAAATTTTATGTATGCATGTATGTATGTGCACATGCATACATGTGAGTGTGTGGGACATATGCATACATGCACAAACACATACAGTATATACACAAACATTATACATACACATATGTACATACATGTACATACTTGTACATACTCATATAAAGAAACATACATATTATACACACTCTTATATATATATATATATATTCGCATGCACGCACACACATACCCCTAGACTTCGACCTGGACTTGGACGTACGCACACACACACACACACACACACGTGCATCTATACTGCATGCATGCATGCACCCATCCATACCTGTGCTGCATGCACACATCCCATCCATCCATACATACATACATACATACATACATACATACATACACATGCATATGCGTGTAAAGAGGCCCATACCTGTAGCCGACATACATTTGCGCTCACGTACCTTACATACCACGGCAAGCAAGTAGAAATCTGCACTTTGAAGCCTCTAGAGCCTTTGGGTAAGGTTGCAGCTCCTGATGCGCAGTCTTGCGGGATTCTCCAGACCCTGAATCCACCGTCCCAAGACCCTAAACCCTAAACCCTAAAACCTAAACCCTAAACCTAAAATGCATTGCAGGGCTGATTCAGCTCACTTGTCCGATGTATTTCATCGCACGCAACATCCGAAGCTGCAGCCGCGGAGCAAGGCCAGTCGATCGGCTTCTGCTTGAGCCTGGCATAGTTAGTGCGTCTAGAAACATCTCGGTTTCTTTGGTATATATATATATATTGTATATATACACATATATATATATGTATATATGTGTGTATATATATATATACACATGCAAGGCAGACACAAACGCACACGCACACACTGGTGTATGTATGTATATTCAATGTATATATACATATATCTATTATATATATGCATATATATATATATATACATATTAAGTAGCATTGTATGCTGTTTATTGAAAGAGTGCCAGATGTATGTTATATAGCTATATGCCTGGTCACAGATGTGGTCACGGACTCTGAAGACGCTCTCTCTCTCTCTCTCTGCACTCCCAAGTTGCCGGCTTTTTTCTCAAAGCCTTACACTTAAAGGATCATGGGACTTTGTAAGTAGGGTTATAACTAGGGTAGCTATACTTATAACCCAATTAAGGGGCTTAAAACCTTACTTACTAAGTCCCATGATCCTCCAAGTACCAGCCTAACATCCTGAGCCCTGAGACTGCAGCCTTATCCCTGAAACCTGAACCTGGACCTCCGGGGATTCAAACACCCTAAACCCTAATTAAACCCTAAACCCTAAACCCTAAATTAATCCCTAAACCCTAAAACCCTGAACCCTAAATTTATCCCCAAACCCTGGTTCGGGAACAGTGTGGGCTGCAGCACCGAGCTTGGTTTATATCCGGCTTCGGGCTCGAAGGCTCCAGAGCTGGGAGGGTTCTGAGTCCAGGGTTTAGGGTTTAGGGTTTAGGGTTTAGGGTTCAGATCGAAGGATGCGGGCAATTGATGTAGGGGCCTTAATAATTCGAATAGGGTTCTAGGGGTTCCTTGTTATAATTTCTAGCTAGATCTAAGGATACGGGGGTTTAGGGGTTTAGGGTTTAGGGTTCAGAGCTCAAAATCTATGGCTTTTTGGGTGAGAAAGGTTGGGAGTTTCCGTAAATAGGGGACCCCAACATAGTACCCTAAATAGTAGGGCCCTTATTACAAGGATCCAAAATAAGGTACCCTAATATTCGGAAACTCCCATAGGGAATCAGGTCTCTTATGGTTCAGCGCGCACGTGAAACCCTCCACTGCGGGCCCCCTCCGCCTTCACCCTCAAGATCTCCTCTTGCAAGTCCGCGAGTGCCTTTTGGGGGAATTCGGGTTGGGGTTTAGGTTTTAGGGCTCAGGGTCTAGGGCTTAGCGTTTTAGGGTTCAGGGTTTTAGGGTGTAGGGTCTGGGCTTAGGGTGTACCTGGACCATAAAGAACCTTCCTCTTTAAGGACTTATATAAGGAAAAACCCCAATACGAATCCCTAAAAATGTCGGTTTTACAGGGTCCAGGTAGGGCTTAGGGCTTTGATGGCTTCAGGGCGTGCAGCAGGGCGTGAGAGGCTGAGGCAAAGTTAGGGAGTACTTAAAGGATCATGGGACTTAGTAAGTAGGGGTATGATTAAAGTAACTATACTTATAACCCCAACTAAGGGACTTATAACCTTATAACCTTACTTGCTAAGTCCCATGACCCTCCAAGTGTGGTTTGGGGTACTTGGTGTTGCAGCCTTGACCATAACCATACCTAACCTGATGTGGGAGATACTCCACTTTCCCAATTGGCGGTGCTATGAAGCGTAGCTCGAACTGTCTACACTCACCATTGCATGAAAACCTAAAAACTGAAACGGCAAAGACCCTCCATCGACCCTCTATTAGGCCCTAAATACCCCTAATTTGGGACCCTATATACCCCTATTTGAGGGTACTTTGGAGGGTCCTGGTGCCTGAGCCACAGTGTTTTTACATAAACTCTAAAACCTAAACCCTAGTCTGTCTGGTGCTTAGTAGGGAATGGGGGAATGGGTTGTAGGGACTGCTATAAGGGACCTTAAGGGACTATCATAGGGATCCATTCCCCCATTCCCTACTAAGCACCAGACAGTAGTTGAGGTTGATGGGAGGTGGGGCTTCCCGCAGTTGACCGGCGGTACGTGGATGCGTACTTCAGTAAGGACCCCGTCCGACGAAGCCTCGAACAGCTGAATGTAGGGGCCTTAATAATTAGAATAGGGTTTTGCGGGTTCCTTTTTTTATCATAATACAATATACCCCAAACCCTGTTCTGGCCATTAAGGCCCCCGTATTTTGCCTGCTGTCACACCTGCGTTGCGTATCTACCGGTAGTAGTAGAGAACATGAAGCGGCCGCCGACCCAAACCCTGAGGTGCAAATATTGGGTCGGGTCCTTAATCCTCGATTACGGTTTGGGCCATCGTTTTATAGTATAACATACTGTGGTTATATACTAGATTATGCTACAATTGTAGTAAGGACCTCCAAAATAGTAATGGCAATTATCTAGGCTCCGATATGACTCGAATCTCGAAGGCTCAAGACATGTTGAAACCCTCCGGAACCCGGGACACGGCACCCAGCAAAGCCTAAATCGTTTAACTCTAAAGCCGAGTCAGTAAAGCTCCACATGGCATGAGATCCTAAAGGCCTAAACCCTAAAGTCCCAAAGCCCTAAGATCCTAAAGCCCTCAAACCAAACCCCTAAACGCTAAACCCCAAATCCTAAACCCTAGCCCCTATATTGTAGAGGCCTAAATAATTACCAACACTATTTTGGGGGTTGCTTAGTGTTATAATGGGCCCCAAAACCCCATATTCTAACTATTGAGGCCCCCAGATTACCCCCAAAGCCCTAACTCAGAAGGAACACCAATGGGAGCTAGGATTAGGGGGACCCTTGGGGATATAGACCCTCTCAATAAGGTCCCTTGGAAGAGAGCCACAAGTAGGGTTCAGAAGGGGTACCCTTTAAGGGGTGCCCCTCAGAAGGAACACCTCAGAGGCTGAGTACCCTAGCCCAAAAAAGGTTAACCTTTTGAATTATAGTAGGATTATAAGAGCCCCAAAAGGTTAAAGGTTACCTACTCCCTAAACCCTAAACCCTATTAGTAACCCTTTAAAGGAACCCTACGCCCCAAAAGGTTAAAGGTTACCTAATCAGCCCCTGAGACACCACGCAGCCTTCCGGATCAGGTCGGTTTCCTGTTCCTTCTGACGGAGCAAGTCGGGGACCTGGCTCCATTCGGGAGTTTCTTGATATTGGGGTTTAGGGGTTTAGGGGTTTAGGGTTTAGGCTTTAGGGGTTTAGGGTTTAGGGTTTAGGGTTTAGGGTTTAGGGGTTTAGGCTTTAGGGTTGGGGCTTTGAGGGTTTGTGTCCTTGTAACACCTTCATATTCTGACACTCCCGTTTGGGAGATGCGTCCCTACTTAATAGAAACCTCATAGTGTTGATGATGAACCACGTCTTCGGAGTCGCCAGGTATCAGCATGATAAGAAAACTCAGACAATGCTTACGCTCACACGGCTCACACACAAACGGACTGCACAAAGCTTAACAAGGAGCACGATAAGTAGCGACCGTCAGCAAATTCATGACCGTTGGTGGCCTGGCTACTCTAAGATTAACGTCAACACGCCGCTGGGCTTGCGTTCCGGGTTGAAGATGCTTTTCTTGCACGACCTCGTGCTTCGGGTTACAATGGTCCGGGGTCGTCGCTTTAGGTCTTCGGGTCTCCTTGCTTGAGGCTTTAGACGGCTGCTGAAAAGATTTAGTCTTCTGGATTCGGGTTCCGGAGCAAACGGCCCTGTAGCCTGCACGCAACCCAAAGCATGCAACACCTTGAAAACCCTCCTCTGCCTCCGTTTGAGAGATTCTGAGGGGCTCATGCTGTGAGACCGTCCACGTGCAGCTTGCAAAAGCGCCTTGTCAAGCTCGTCGCGGAGCACTTGCTTCTCGACGATTAAGACTTCTCTAGCCTTTTCTGCCTCGGCTGGAATGGCTAGAATGCGGATGGTGCTGGCTACACGGGAGTGTCGTGATTGTGGTGGTGGTTGTGGTGGTGGTGGTGGTGGCGGTCGTGGTAGAGGTAGATGTAGAGGTAGATGTAGGCGCAAAGGTAGGGGTAGAGATAGAGGTAGAAGTAGTAGTAGTAGTAGTAGTAGTAGCAGCAGCAGCAGCAGCAGCAGTAGTGGCAGTAGTAGTCGCAGCACTTGTAGCAGTAGTAGCAGTAGAAGTAGTAGTGGTGGTAGTAGTAGTAGTAGTAGCAGCAGCAGCAGTAGCAGTAGCAGTAGCAGTAGCAGTGGCAGTAGCAGTAGCAGTAGCGGCAGCAGCAGCAGCAGCAGGAGTAGTAGTAGTAGTAGCGGCAGCAACAGCACGAGCAGTGGCAGTAGCGTAGGAGGAGGAGGAGGAGAGGAGGACGCGAAGCAGCAGTCATCATCATGGTGGTGGTGGTGGTGGTGATGGTGGAAAGGCGGCGGTGTCGGTGGTAGTGGTAGTAGTAGTAGTAGCAGTAGTAGTAGCAGCAGCAGCAGCAGCAGCAGCAGCAGTATTAGTAGTAGTAGTAATAGTGGTGGTGGTGGTGGTGGTAGTNNGTAGTAGTAGTAGCAGTAGTAGTTAATTAGCTGGTAGGCGTCTTCGTCGCAGAGAGGCAGCGCTACTGGAAATGGTCGAGTCAGCACCACTGCAGCCCCAACCGCACCCCCACCACGCCCGCAGTGCTTACTATGGACGGAGGCAAGCTCGGCACCCCTGAACGCGCCTGCTTGAGGAGCGCGACTTTTTCGTCTTCGAGCTGGAGGATTCTGGCAAGCGGGCTCAAGTGAAAAAAGGATATGCCTGTGTCGTTCACAACGGTCCGTGTCTGGTATGCTCCGATGAAAGCGTTTTGGCTAAACGGTCCTGGTGTCATGGGCTTGCTGTGAACAGCTTCACAAGTACCGGGTTGTGGGGAGCGGGGGGGGGGGGGGGGCGCTTGAATGTTTTTGCCTAGCCCTTAGACGACTGCACAAGAGGGTGGCAAAGAACAAGAACCTGAATCATATGCTGTTGCTGTCCAGTCCATGCAAATTTGCAGCCCTGGACCCTCAACTCCTGTTCAATTAATATAGGGGCCTAAATAATTACCTATACTATTTCGGGGGTTCCTTATCATATCTATAGTATGATGGACCCCCAAACCCCATTAAAAACTAGTAAGGCCTATACTAAGCTACTCTAGATGTTGAGACC